AGCGCATACAACCTCATTCGAATCCGCCCTGGAGACGAATGGAAGACGGCCTTCATCACACCTACTGGCCACTATGAGTATTGGGTGATGACATATGGGCTAGCCAACTCTCCGTCTGTCTTCCAGGGATTCATGAATGAGGTGTTCCGGGAGTTTCTCCACTGATTCGTTATTGTCTACATCGACGACATTCTCATGTACTCCCGGGAACTGGCCGAACATCGCCACCAAGTGGAGCAGGTCCTTCAGAAGCTGAGAGAATACCACCTATACCTCAAGCTGGAGAAGTGTGAGTTCCACCAAACTACCATCCAGTCCCTGGGTACGTCATCTCCCCTCAAGGAGTACAGATGGACAACAAGCTCCAAGCCATTCGTGACTGACCCTTACCTTCATCAGTAAAAGAATTACAGCGCTTTCTAGGTGGAAACCATGAGTTGTTGGCTATCAAGCTTGCACCTGGAGGAGTGGAGACACTGGCTGGAGGGAGCCATCCATCCTTTCCAAGTCATTATTGACCACCGCAATCTAGAGTATTTACGAGATGCTAAACGTCTGAATCCTCGACAGGCCCGTTGGGCGCTCTTCTTCACTCGCTTTAATTTTACAGTCACCTACCGATCCGGGATCCAGAATTCCCATGTTGATGTTCTTTCCCGTCTCCACCAACCCTTGCAAGACAACACAGCCCCAGAAACCATTCTCCCTCCAGCCCTCATTGTAAGTCCCATTGAATGGTCCCTGGATGAGGACATTCGACAAGCCACACTCATGGAACCTGCTCTGCCGGGAGGTCTGCAGCCTTCAGCCTTCTTTCACCTCCTAGGAGTCTCCGTTAGTCTCACCTCCGGATACCACCCACAATCCAACGGCCAGACTGAGCAGAAGATTCAAGACATTGGGAGGTACCATCGCAGTTACTGCCACCAGACCCAGCACGGCTGGAGTCCCTTCCTTCCCTGGGCCGAGTACGCACAAAACTCACTCCGCCAGCACTCACCCCCTTCCAGTGCGTACTCTGCTACCAATCCCCCTTATTTCCTTGGGATGGAGAGCTCTCGGAAGTCCCAGCTGTGGACTACTGGTTCAGGGAGAGCAAGAGGGTTTGGGACTCAGCACACATCCATCTCCAGCGGGCAGTCAGGAGACATAAGGCCCACGCTGATGCCCGCCACATACCTGGACCGCCTTACCATCCTGGTGACAAGGTATGGCTATCAACGTGGGACATCCGTCTCCAGCTGCCCTGCCTTAACCTGAGTCCCCGCTTCATCGGTCCATTCACCATCAAGAGGCAGATAACTGATGTCACGCACCAACTGGACCTACCACCCACCTACCGTATTACACCAACCTTTCACATATCCCTTCTGAAACCATACACTAACCCTATCTCTCCTCCTTCCACTGGACCTGACGAGTCAGACGTGCCTCCTCCTCCAGAGATCGCCAACAAGGATTCCATCTACCGAGTTAACTTCATCCTGGATTCCCGGCGTCAAGGCGGCAGCCTTGAATATCTGGTGGACTGGGAGGGCTTTGGCCCAATGGAACAGTCCTGGGTGCCTCAAGACGATATACTTGTCCCCTCTCTGCTGTCTGTCTTCCATCAACTCCACCCAGATAAGCCAGCACCCAGAGGACCTGGCCATCCTCGTCGCCAGCAGCGGGTGTCGGGAGCCGTCAATGGAGCAGGGGGTACTGTCAGGGAAACACCAGACTCGTCAGGTCCCAGCACTCATCCTGCACGATCACAGTCACCTGAGTTCTGATTCCCTGCACCTGTCACCACGTAATCAAGACCAGTATAAAGCTACCTTCACTTCTCACCAACCTTTGTCTGGTCTTGAAGTTGCTACCACAGACTTACCTACCATTGGATACTCACCTGCTGATCACGATCTTCATCTCTTGCTAACCACGTCCTCGGAAACCTGTGAAAAGGAGAAAGAGCCTGTTAGCTCACCAAGCTAAGTTGACTCATCTCCATTATAGTAGAGACTTACCTGCTGACTCTCCATTCCTCTGCACTCTGTTCCTGTTGCTCAATAAATACTGTCTCGCTTACCAGTTTCTCCATTTGTGGTCTCCTTCTGTTCCGTGACACTCAGATCATTTGTGGGGTTTTAAAAGAGATATAACCTCAAAGTTAACAAATCTTACTTGTGATTGCTCACATGAACATTTATTAGATGTTTTTTTTATATATACTCTCCAAAAATAATTTCCTACATCCCATCAGCAGCACTGGCCTGTGTCTGTGTACTATTGATTTATTGCATTTCCAGAATTACACTTAAATATGCTTTTAATTTTTGCTAATTTGTTTTATATTAAACATAATTTGAATGTTGAAGTAGTATGTTGGTACACTTAACCTCTTGGTTTTCTCAAATTCATTGTTATTATATTATTATGGAGATGCTAGAAAAAGCATTTTCCGTCACCCTGTCTTTTACAGGTCACAAATTCATTACTTTCGATACAATACAGTATTCAGTCTCTGCAGCTTCACACGGGCTTACGGTGTTTACTTTGCCGAGAGCAATGAATAGAACACAACGTATTGTTGATAACCGAGAAGCCAATTAGAGGCAGTGGAGTGTGTCTTTCTCTTGATGAATGCTTTATATGTACAGCATCCGAAGAGCAGATGATTTTATTGCATATGTATAGCAGAGAGTTGTCGGTTTATTTATTTTGGCCTCATAGAAATGTCTTGTAAGGACTCTTTAATGAGATACGTGAACTGAAAAATTTGTCTACTGAACATTCTGGAAGAAAACTTTTCCTGATGTGGGTAGTTCAGTGGAACTTGCGTGCGGAGCACAAAAAAGTACCCCTCTCTTACAGAGACATGCTTTAAAGCCTGATCATACCCCTGCTTTGTGGATGGTGTCGAAATAGTTTGTGTCGTGGAGGCGTGTGGGGATTGTGGTGTTTTGAGTGGATGTGTTGTTCATGCATATTCTGTTTGAATTTGCTGTTCTCTAGACACAACCCCCTCACTGAATTCAGTGCAGGTGAGGCAAACACAACCTCCATCATTGTCCCCTTCACAGAATAAAGCGTAAGATACTCACAAATGAAAGTATGCAGCTTACTTTATTTGTTGGATTATTTTTCATTATCTTTATCCTCATGGGTTTTTAAAACAATGAAGAAGAAAAGTGGAGTTTAGTTGTTTATTCTCAACTTCATAAATTACACAAATTGAAAAATTCTCTGATCATTTGCACAAGTTCTAAGCCTGTATGATGCGCTTTATTCTGTTGGATACAAAAGCATAATTTAAGACTGGAATACACTACACAACTTTTGCCCCGACTTTTGTTGATGCTAGTTGCCGAAAGTTAGAGCCAGTCTACAGATTTTAGTTGACAGATTCCATAGAAAATCGCATAGTGTATGATGGTCACAGACTCTGATTTTTAGCTTCAGACTATCATTCCATCCAGTCGTCAGAGATCAAACATGTTTGATATTTTCAGCTGATTTTAGAACATTATTGTTTTCAATTGTCAACCAAGGTGCAAGTTTCTGCATGAGTTTGTTGTGATTGGAACGACTTTAAAGTCTGGTAGTGTGTGATCTTTAGTCATTTTGTGTTTGATGGCCAGTTTTCCTCTAAGACTATTTACAGTACAAAGTCAGTAAATCTTTTTAGATTTTTAAAATCGTGTAGTATATTCCAGCCTTTAGGCATGATGTTTAGGTTGCTCTTTATCATACAATGAAAGTGAATGATAGTGACCATGGACTGCCAGGCTCCAAAAAGCAAAATAAAACAAACACAAAATAGTATCATAAAATTATTCCATGCGAGTCTTGACACTATATTCCAAGTCTTCAAAAGCCATAATTTTTCTGTGACAAAGACACTCAAAATCTAATCTTTATAATCTCAGTTTTTATTTGTGTTTTCAATTTTGGTACATCGTGATCAGTTATGAGACTCACAAGAACTGATGACATTTGACATCACTGGCAAACCTGAGTGTGGGCAAACCTGAATGAGATTTAAGCTGCAGGACAAAATTATCAGAAGATAAATTCAGTTCTGCAGTTCAGTGGGATAATTTTATAGAGCTTATTGTTATTTCTGAAACACGACAACTCACAGAGCCGAACCTCCCTATACGCAAAATACGCAAGGGGGCCCCCCAAAACACCAGGGGGCCCCCTTGCTCTCAAATATGATTTAAAGGGGTCCTATTTTGCTCTTTTACAAAGTCTTGATTTTGTTTTGGGGGTGTACTAGAACGGGCTCTCATACAAGGTTGTTCGAAAAACACATTATTTTTCACATATTTTACATTATTACTCTCCCCAGTCTGGCATGAACAGCTCGAATAGTTCCTGTATCAAATGAAAGCCCGTCTTCTGAAATACGAAATGTGCTGTGATTGGTTAGCTGGGCCAGTGTGTGTTGTGATTGGCTCCACTCGGCGCCTGGTCGGGAAATGTCATGCCCCTTACCATAGCCGCCTGTGAGCTTCAGTGTAAATATTGCGTCAATATGAAATCAATTTGAGCGCGATTTAAACCCGGATGATTGTAAGCAACCACTCTAAGTTCGTCTGCCTTGGGAAAGCTAGCGTGTCTCCGACATAGTGATAACACTTGTTGTCTTCTCTAGTGCAGCTCAGCCAGGTCTCGTCCCATTCGTCGATATTTGTGATATCACAAAACATCTCCTTTTGTCTTCCACAGCAGAAAGAAAGTCTAGAATGGAATGTCATAAAGACAAGTATATAATGGTATCAGTTTTGTATGAACTGATTTTGTTGGATCTAGACTCCAAACTGCATTATTTTCTATTTGTTTAAAACAGTATACAATGTCATTAAATGTAATTGTTATTAAAGGAAAGTGTACTCAGTCCATCAAACAAGCCATTGTTATTAATGAGGGTATAAACTGTGTCTAGATTACATTGTTAAATATGACCAGTATTGCTTATTTCTTTCTTTTCTGTCTGACATTTGTTTTTCTAATAGATCTGGAGGAGTTTAAAACCCAGAGGAGAAGTCCAGTGAGCGTCAGAGAGGGGCAAGGTGTGGTTCTTCTCTGTGGCCCTCCAGCACATATGGGAGGTGAAACGTTTTATTGTCTATTTGCTGGCCGACTGATTTTGTTTTTTTAATGGTCGATGGTGATATTGAGAGAAAAAAAATGTGGACATGGCCAATGTAGTGACAAAATGTATTACATGGCTCTTTAGAATGCTTAATTCTGATTAGTAAGTTGTGAGATTTTTCAGTCTAAACTTCACTCTTCAATGACCACTAAATTGCAACAGGCAACCAATTTTTTACATAGGTGTGCTACTGTTATACAGTATTCATGTATTTTGTATTAGTTACTCATCTATTTCTTTTTACACAATAAATAATTTCAAAACAAATACATTTTTTATGCCCATTTATTTATTTAAGTAGCTGTGTAATGAACATCCATCCTGTCATTATTGCTAAATAAAACCATTTGTGGTTATAAGGCCTGGTGCATCAGTGTATTTTATGATAATAACTGACTGACTGTACATTACCCCTTATGTGTATGATATAATTCTACGTAATGACAGAAAATGAAACACAATATCTGCCAATATGCCAGTCTATCTACTGGGATAGTCTTTCTTGCAACCCTACACAGGACATACAGTATCAATCTATATCTGGTCTTTATTAGAATGACAAAGAAAAAATCAAGATCAATGATAATTCAATATGTTTAACAATATTCTCATTCATGAGCTTTATGTTGTGCCTCATGTGAGTTATCATATGTGCAGATGTTACCTGTTCAGAGAGACTTTGCTCTATGCAGCTTCTACTGTTTGTTCCTATTAACCGTCCCCCAACCAGCAATTATGGTCCTCTGTAATTTGCTCACAGTATAAAGGCTTTTCAACCTCACTGCCCATATAACAGCATAAACACATATTACCTCCTTTTCCGCTGTTGATTTAGTGCCCTTAAGTGGCACACTACAGAGCACAAGTTCAATGTTATGCAAGGCAAACTTTTTTGTATTTGCTCTTTGCTGTTAACTCAATGAGTGGCCACACTTAAGAAACCCTGAACAGACTGCTTAATAGACTTTTTTTGTCATCACTTAGACTGTTGACATTTTCAAGAACAGAACATGTTGAACTCAGAAAAAACAGGGCACTTTCAAAAGGGTCACAGGAAAGGTTATTACATTGATGCGCAAAATAAGCACAACAGCGTTTATTTACTGAAAAGTGAGACAGCTTATAAGACAGCTTATAAGCAGTGTCATTTCACTATAAGAAAATGTGTTTAAGATGTCAAATGTAGGGTAATGTTTTCAACATATTAAAAACACACAACATGCTTTGGATGTTTAAGTATAAAAGCTGTTCCCTATCTGTCGGTCACTACGAGTTATGTCGTGACGACATAGAGGGTTCACTTGGGAGCCCCAATCCTCTCTGACTTTAAGAGAAAACGCCAATGAAATTTGGCTAGTGCTTCATCTCCACAAAGCCCTTTACTCATCTGACTGGAAGAAGCTGTTCCTGGTTGGCGTTACGGTGCAAACAGCGGTGTCCCTGTCATTAGTGATTCCCCTAAGCACTTCAACTGAAAGAGTAGTTTCTCTAAAAGAGCGGTCGGTTAGCTTTTTTTTTTAAAGATGCCGTTCCGTCCATGTTTTCTTGGTTGCGGTCTTTTCCTATCCTCTGTTGACGGACACGATCGTTGTCTTCAGTGTCTGGGCATCCAACACGCTGAAGCTGCATTCGTGGATGACTCATGCGTTCATTGCGAGCGTATGAGGATGGCTTCGCTGCAATCTCGCCTCTCTTTCCTCACTGGGAACGGAGCAGCACCCTTTGTCTCTACCCGTCCCGGTTTCCCTGTCACGAGCAGGGGACCGTCAGCTAGAGCTCTGGGAGATCTGAGGGTCACAGTGAGAGCTTCTCTGCTGGGCACGTCCCCCCGGACCTCTCACTCCTCCCGCAGCGAATGTTCCGTACGGCTCGAGTAATTTTGCTGGCCCGGCTCGTGACGGTCCCAGCATTTCATTCGGTGCGCCGCCGGAGGATCGGAGCTGACGACCATGCTTGCCCGGGCAGCCGTGAACATCGGGCTGGAGGTGAACACACCGCCCAGTCCCGAGCCCTCGTGGCTGGATGATTGGATTCTCGGGGCGCGGCTCACAACCGCATCCTGCCTTTTTTCCCGGAGGTGCATGAGGAGCTGACAAAGTCATGGACGGCCCCTTTTTCGGCCAGAAGCCGCTCGTCTGGGGTACGTTGACATTCCACAGGTGGAGAGAGCACTTGGAGGAATCGTTCTCATCTCCCATCCAAAGCCTGTAAGCTGATGCTGGCTCTCGCTGCCAAAGCTTACAGTGCTGCGGGCCAAGTCGCCTCTGCCCTGCATGCCATGGCTATCCTGCAGGGCCACCAAGCCAAGGCACTAAAACAAATGCATGAGGGTAGTACCGACCTGGGGTTGATGCAGGCGCTGCGCTCGGTGACTGACTTCGCCCTCCGGGCAAGGAAAGTCACGGCGCCGTCCCTCGGGAAGGCGATGTCCACGTTAGTGGCCCAAGAGCGCCATCTCTGGCTCAACCTTGCTGAGATGAGAGACGTTGACAAAATTCGTTTTCTTGATGCTCTCATCTCGCAGGCTGGCCTGTTCGGCGACATCCAAGACGTGATCCTCCGTCTACCACTGTTCCGTCACGTGCCCCGCCTCAGTCTGCCCGTCGCCGAGGTCGCCCCCGTGTCCTCCAGAGCGTCTCCGCCCCATGCTGAGACAGCGTCAAGACACAGTGGGCTGACAGTGAGCGACGTGCTGCCTCCTCACTCTCGCCCACGACACCCCCTATCGCCAGCGCCCAAGAGATCACGGCTCGGGGATGTGTTGCCTCTCCACGCATCTATGGCCAGTCCCTCCGGGGACACGGGGAGTCCTGCTGTGATGAGCCAGGACGCGATGCCTTCTGTGCCATCCAGCACGACTTTCCACCACTGCACCACTGCGGATGCATCAATTGTCCCTTTGGTGCCACTAGTACGGAGCTTGGAGGCATGGCTTGTGCTGCCCAACCCATCCCGCTGGCTCATTCGGACAATTTGACTCGGTTACGCGATTCAGTTCACCAGGCGACCTCCCAGGTTCAGCTGCATTCTCGAGACATCGGTGGCAGCCCGAGATGCCTCTGTCCTGCACGACGAGATTGCTGTTCTACTGGCGAAGGATGCAATCGAGCCTGTCTCTCCAGCCGAGATGAAGTCAGGGTTTTACAGCCCTTACTTCATCGTGCCCAAGAAAGGCGGTGGCCTTCGGTCAATCCTGGATCTGTGAGTCTTGAATCGGGCCCTTCACAAGCTTCCATTCAAGATGTTGACGCAGAAGCGCATCATCAGGTGCATCCAGCCCCAGGATTGGTTTGCAGCGGTCGACCTGAAGGACGCTTGCTTTCATGTCTCGATTCTTCCTCGACACAGGCTATTTCTACAGTTTGCGTTCGAGGGTCGGGCATGGCAGTACAGGTTCCTCCCCTTCGGGCTGTCCCTGTCCCCCCCTCTTGTCTTTACGAAGGTCACGGAGGGCGCCCTTGCCCCATTATGGGAAGTGGGCATCAGGATCCTCAACTACCTCAATGACTGGTTCATCATGACCCAATCACGAGAGCAGTTGTGTGATCACAGGGACCTGGTGCTCTAGCACCTCAGTCAGTTGGGGCTTCGGGTCAACTGGGAAAAGAGCAACCTCTCCCCCATGCAGAGGATCTGTTTTCTCTGTGTGGAGTTAGACTCGGTGAGTATGACGGCGCGGCTCACCAGCAAGTGTGCCCAGTCAGTGCTGAACTGCCTGAGTTCCTTCAGAGGCAGGAACGTGGTATCTCTGAAACACTTTCAGAGGTTCCTGGGCATATGGCATATATCCTGGAGCCACAGTCACGCCGCTCGGATTGCTTCATATGAGACCACTTCAGCACTGGTTACACTCCCAAGTCCCGAGATGGGCATGGCATCATGGTTCAGCCCCTGGACAGACCTTGCCTTTCTACGGGCTGGGGTGCCCTTAGAACAAGTGTCCCGGCATGTCATTGTCACGACAGATGCCTCCAGTACGGGCTGAGGCACTACATGCAATGGGCAGGCAGCCTCAGGGCTCTGGACGGGGCCTTGACTGCTTTGGCACATCAATTGCCTAGAGCTGTTGGCAGTGCATCTTGCCTTACAGCAGTTCCAGCCACTGCTACAGGACAAGCACGTGTTGGTCCGCACGGACAACACTGCAGCCATGTCGTACATCAACCGACAGGGAGGTCTATGTTCACGTTGCATGTCACAGCTTGCCCATCATCTCCTCCTCTGGAGTCAGACGGCTCAAGTCTCTGTGCGCCGTCCACATTCCAGGGAACCTTGCACAGTTCCAGACACTGTGCAAGGTCAGGGAGGACGAGGAACTGGACCACTCGGACCTGGTTTTCGGAACTCATGGTCCTCGCGACAGCCCCTCCCTGGCACATCCCTCTGAGGAAGGACCTCCTTTCTCAGGGGCTCTGCACCATATGGCACCCGCGTCCAGATCTTAGTGATCTGCTACCGGCGGTGGTAAACACGATCACTCAGGCTAGAGCACCCTCGACGAGGCAAGCCTATGCTCTGAAGTGGAGTCTGTTCGTGAACTGATGTTCTTCCCGCCGAGAAGACCCCAGAAGATGCATGATTGGAGTAGTGCTTTCTTTCCTGCACGAAAGGTTGGAGCGTAGGCTGTCACCCTCCACCTTGAAAGTGTATGTGGCTGCTATCGCAGCACATCACAATGCAGTGGACGGCTGGTCCCTGGGAAAGCACAATCTCATCGTCAGATTCCTGAGGGGTGCCAGAAGGTTAAATCCTCCTAGGCCACCCCTGGTGCCCTCCTGGGATCTCTCTACTGTCCTGGCTGGCCTTCAGAGTAGAGGCCTGCAAGCCCGTCAGGTACATTCGGGCCGGGCTCGGGCCATTTTTTTTTTTACAGATCGGGCTCGGGTCGGACTCGGGCTCATTTAGCTTCTCTCCTTTTATTGTGCCCATATACGCGCAGAGCACACATAGGCTACT